CCTAACCCTAACCCTAACCCTAACCCTAACCCTAACCCTAACCCTAACCCTAACCCTAACCCTAACCCTAACCCTAACCCTAACCCTAACCCTAACCCTAACCCTAACCCTAACCCTAACCCTAACCCTAACCCTCGCTGATCCCACGCACACAGCGGTTCGGGTCCGGGTTTTGCTGTCTTATCTCTTTCTTCCACTCCTTCCGCCGGCCGCTTGCCTCGGGGGTTAAACGGGGGGTCTATCTTTTCCCTCTCTCTCTATTCACCCCTTCTCTATTCACCCCTTCTCTATTCACCCCTTCTCTATTCACCCCTTCTCTATTCACCCCTTCTCTATTCACCCCTTCTCTATTCACCCCTTCTCTATTCACCCCTTCTCTGCTTACCTAACTCCCCCTAATCCTTCCTTCAAATACCAGATCCCTAACCCTGTCTTTTGCCTATATCTCCTCTACTCTTCTCTCTAATTTACCCTCCTATTACGCTCCGCGTTCTGTCCAAGTCCCTACTCTATATACGCTTCTATTACGCTCCGCGTTCTATCTAACGCCTCTTCTCGCTTATGACACTAACCGGTTCGCGCTAGCTCTATATCATTTTCTTCTTTTTCTACTCTCTTCTATCTTATAGCTCTACATATTTCCATCTCTCTCTCTCTTTCTCTACTCTCTATAGTCTATCTACTCTAAATCTTAACTATAACTTAAATCTTGTCTATATCTATTTACTACCCTCTATTTCTATTTACTACTATCCACTACCATTCACTACTATTCACTACCATTCACTGCTATTCGCTACTATTCGCTACTATTCGCTACTATTTACTGCTATTCACTACTGCTAATCACTATAACTAACTCCTAACCCTTCTTACTTACCCTCTCTCTATACACTAGCTCTCTAACCCTTACTTAACCCTACCTCTCTATCTCTCCTCTATACACGCGCCTGTTACGCTCCGCGTTCTACCCAAGTCTCTACTCTATATACCCTCCTATTACGCTCCCCGTTCTACCTAAGTCTCTACTCTATATATACTCCTATTATACTCCGCCTTCTGCCTAACTTCACTTCTAATTTGTAACACTAACGGGCTCGGGCCGGGTCTATTTCTTCTTCTTCTTCTTCTTCTTCTTCTTCTTCTTCTTCTTCTTCTTCTTCTTCTACTCTCTTCTCTTATAACACCAACGGCTAAGCTCCGCATATCTCTCTCTCTATGACACCAATAGCTAAGCTCCGCATATCTCTCTCTATCTTCCCCTACCCCTACTAAAAAAGTCTTTTTTACTCCCCTCTATACTCTACTACTTCTTAACTATCCTTAACACAAGTCGTATCGCAACTACCATTGCGTTACTAAACACCTGTCCCCACATCTCTTCTTGACTTCTCTTCCCAAGCCATCCTGCGTATGCCTCATCTCCTATCTCTCCAAACCCTGACTCCCCAATCGTCTGAATCCCCACCCGTGTCAGCCGCGCTGCGTACACCAGCGGTATCACTACATTCGGCCACTGACACCTATTCTCTACACCCTCCCCAGTTGCGCAGTACTTTTGACTGACCCAGCACCGCCGACAGTTGTTCTTTACCGTCCGATCAACAATCTTCCTCCGGAACCTGTCCGCCTCTGCCCCTGACGCCCTCTCCCACGCCTTACACTGCACCGCCCAGTGCTTCTTCCACTGCTCCTCCTCCTTCGTCGCAAACTGCTGCCCTACCACCCAGCAGATAGCACACCTGCCCCGCAGCTCCGTAAACATTGCCTCCACTACCCCCCAACTCCTCTGCCCAACGCTTGTGCTCCTCCACCCACACCTCCTCCCCCTCTCCACACCGGTCACAACACACCGCCCCTATCTCTCTACACCCTACCCCAACCCCATCCAAGTACGAGCTCATCAGCTCCCGCCGGCATCCACTCCCAATCAAAAACGTCCCCATTGCCTGCACCTCAATGTCACCGCTCTCCTGCTCCATTCTCTTCTCCACCTCTCCCTGTTCTACCATCACCACCACCTCAAACTCCTCTCCACCTCGCCCCCCACGCCCACTCGCCTGCGCAAAGTCCGTCATACTCCACGGCATCCCCACATGCAATATGTACACAATCCCCGCGTAGTCTACTCCAGTCCCTAGTGCCGACGTAGCCACAATCAGCCCTCCCTGCTCTACCCACTCCTGCAACCGCTCCCCTCGCTCCTCCACATCAGCGTGATAGTACCCACAGCCGACCTCCTCAGCCATTCGCTCACACTGCGCCTTGCTCAGACAGTACACTACCCCTTTCTGCCCTGACTGCCACAGCTTCTCTGCCCACCGCTTGCACACCACCAACGCCATATCTTCTACTTTCCTACGCGGACACCACGACACAAAGTATCGAGCGTTCGGCCGTGTTGTGCTTGCCCGGATGTACGTCGCGTTGCGCACTAGCATGCTCGCCTCCAGCTCCCCCTCCTGCACCGGCGGCAGCGTTGCTGTCAGCAATACAATCGGGCATCCAAGTAGCCGCAAGTTCTTAACCTTGAGCAGATTGTCCCGCCAGTGCCGTGCTGTGAACAGCAAATGACACTCGTCCACTACCACCCGCTGCAGCAGCCCTTTATCCTTCATCAGCCGAGCATAACCCAAAAAGTTGCCGTTGCTAGTAATATCGCCAGCTACGTCTGCGCTGACAACCACCACGGACGCCGGATTGTTCTCACCATGCTTCCACTCTATGCACTCAACCCCACAGCTACCAATCCGGCTGACCAAGTCCTCAATCAACGCTCGGTACGGCACCACCACCACCGTCACCCCATTCTCCTCAATGCATGCCGGCAGCGTAAACAGCAAGCTCTTGCCCCCTCCTGTCGGGAGTACCACCACCAGCGGCGTCTGCTTATCCAACACCGCGTACAAAGCCTGCTCCTGTTCCATCGAACGGAACCCAACATCCTGCTTCCCCAGCACCTGCTGCAGTGCCCTCTGTACCGCTGCAGCTCGTGCGTCTTCCACCTGAACGGCCTTCTCTTTCGGGACTATCGGCAGCCCTGAGATACTCTCTCGCATCCGCCTTTTCCGCCGTACCCTACCCTCCTCGGCCGTTTCAGCCTGTCCATCTACGCCCAAAAAGCGGTGCCAAGCAGTACTTAGCGCCCGGAACGCATCGATGGACCGCGTGCTGAGATGCTTGACAATATCAATCGAGACGCTGTAGTTGCCCACGCCCATGACCGTCGATCGTGCGTTCTGCAGCTCAATCAAGTCCTCCTCATCCTCATCCACCTCTGCCTCGTCAATCTCGCCAATCTCGTCCTGATACCCCTTCCCAAACGACTCCCCTACCATGACTCGCCCAATCCCAACAGCCGTATGACGGTAGCCTAGCGTGTGCAGCGCTACGCCCAGTCGCTTGCCTGTCTCACGCCTCAGCACCTTCGTCGGTCGATCTGTATTCCATGCCCCTTGCTCGTTGCTCCACACATAGTCGTCCAAGCCACCATTCAGCACGTTCACCACGAGAAACTCTCGAAACCGCTGCAAGTAGCTCAAGTATAGTGCCATAATCTGCCCCACTCGCGGCGGCAGAAAGCGCGGAACCACCTTCGGCTTATCCCACTGAGACTGCGACTTGTGATACCGGACGACAGTCGCCACAGCACCGTCAATAACAAACACATTACGGTCCTGCAGCAGCCCATTGCGGTGTCGTATCGTCACAATCTCGGACCCTCGCGCCGGCTGTCCAGACTCAATGTGCACACAGCCAAGCAGCAGCTCCAAGAACCGATCCATCTGCCGCAGATACTCACGCACCCTTTTGCTTCTCCACCGGCCGTCAGATGTCTGCAGTCGCATGCCTCCCGCTGTGCTCCGCGCCCTTCTCAGCATCCACTCCAGCCCATTCAACAGATTGTTGCCGGGAGTAGTAACAAACGATTTGCCTCGGGTAGTAAATGTAACGTGATCTTCAATTCGTGCAAGATCAATCGAAAAGCGCTCCGCCACATCGTCTACCCAGCACAGCTGCCAAAACTTATCCTCTAGCTCAGCCTCCATGCTCTGAGCCATCTTGCGGAAATGCTCTATCACAATCGGCCGGCCATTAAGATAAAAAATCTTCTTGTCGTTTGACCAGTGTACACTGCCAGCATTACCTTCGTTCAGCGCTGCATGCTTGCCATACGCAAGCAGACTAATCATGACACTCATCGGACTATGCGAGCCGTCTGCCAGATATTTCTGACGCATGTCCAAGAAGTGCTCACGGTCTTCGTCTGTCTGATCGTCGCGCTCAGCTGCCGGTAAAATCTTTTCCACTGCTAGTACTCGAACGCAGTAGACCACGCCAGCAAGTATGTACGAGTAGTTCTTTGCAGTACGCAACCGCTTTGTCTGTGTGTCTATACCCAGCACAGCTAGAAACTGCACTAAGCCACTTGAAAACTCATCTGTGCCGTAACCTGTAAGTATAAATGAAGCTAGTGAGTCTAGCAGAGCATTTGTCTGCGTCGCTGTGTTGCCGTCGCCTAGCGAAAGCCACAGCTGCACTGCCAGCGACTTCTGATTGTCCTTCCACCTAAACAGCTCACGGGCATCCTTCATCTTGTCAGCCGGTGCAGCACTGCGCGGCTGTCGATGCGGCACAACTCCACCGTCACTGCTGTCAACAGTTCCCTCCCTGTCCCTGTCGCCGCACTCGCTGTCGTCATACTCACTCTCTGTGCCAGTATCCTCGCCGCTTGCGCTGTCCACATCAGCGTCCACAGCTCGATCCCTCTGTGCCAGATATTCATCTACCTGACGCTCTTCATCTGCAACGATGCGAAGATAAAAGCAGACAAACCGGATCATGTAGCTAGTGTACGTTGCCTGACTCTCGGGGTTCTGCAGACGCGCCAGCGGCCGCTGATCAATGACGGTCTGCTGCGCACTGCGAAGCCAGCGCCTTGTCTCTAGCCAAAGTGTTGCTAACCCACGCACTGCTCTTTCAATCAGCTCTTCGGTTAGCTTAGCGACCAGCTGCAGCTTTGCTTCGTTGCGGTCGGGCAAGCGGGCCTGATAGCCTAGATGCGCCAGATTTCGGCCCTCTAGCAGCGTCAACCACCCTGTTCTCTTAAACCAGCCCGTTTTGTCAATCTTTGTAGTCTCTGCCATGATTTGCATGTCCTCTTCAAGCTGTTCCTGTACCTTCTGCCATCCAGCGAGTTGTTGCAGAACAATCTCATCATCATCCAGTTTTCCTCCATTTTCAGAATTATCCCCAACACCTAAATTAACTAAAAAATATTTCTGCAGCCCACCACTTCTGAAAAACGTCTGAACTTTGACAGAATCAAAGAGCGTACTTTTCTCTCCCTTCCATGCTTGCTGATGATTTTTTTTTAAATGTTTGCGGATGATACCTCTGTTAATAGTGAGAAATTCACATGTTTTACAGCGAAATCCATCTAGTGGTATCCCCAGCTCTTGAAATGCGCAAGCGGGCTGCTTGGGAAGCTCAACATCCTTTGGGTCGCTTCTTTCGCAGTGCTCAAAGCGTTGTACAATCTCTTTTCGTACTTTAGCGGGCGTTGCATGCTGTTCAAGCAGATGCTTGTCTAGATTTACTACGCCGCTGCAGTGCTGCTTACACACTAGTACACCAAAATCAGCTAGAAAGCAGAGAATATCGTCGCAGTTCTCTACTGAGAGTTCCGGCGGCTTTCTGCATGTGGGTGCGCTACTATCACTGCTTTCTGCGTTCTGTTGTTGTGCGGCCGCACGGGTGTTCCAGACGGGGAGCTCCATTGTAACCCTAACTGTACCCTACCCTACCCTAACCCTAAGCTGAGATAAATATCACTGTACTGCTTTGAAAACTTATATACGTACTAATGCGATATATGCGATAAATTTTTGTATGAGAACTAAGTACTTAATAGTATTGTAGCGTAATGTCTTGGGGGTGGGGTAAATTTCGCGTCTTAGGGGGTGCAAATGGCCCGATTAGTCTACGCAACCCTAACGCTAAGCCTGTTTCAGCCGATTTTCTCGCGGTTCAGACTCCAAACCGCGCCTCATATTGGTTA